AGTGACACTGTTGGTTGTATGATGTGTGACAGTGACAGTTATCTGATAGGTGAGTATGGTGGGAGCGTCAGTTGTAGGAGTGACACTGTTGGTTGTATGATGTGTGACAGTGACAGATATCTGATAGGTGAGTATGGTGGGAGTGTCAGTTGTCTGATGGGTGAGTATGGTGGGAGCGTCAGTTGTACGAGTGACACTGTTGGTTGTATGATGTGTGACAGTGACATATCTGATAGGTGAGTATGGTGGGAGCGTCAGTTGTAGGAGTGACACTGTTGGTTGTATGATGTGTGACAGTGACAGTTATCTGATAGGTGAGTATGGTGGGAGTGTCAGTTGTAGGAGTGACACTGTTGGTTGTATGATGTGTGACAGTTATCTGATAGGTGAGTATGGTGGGAGCTTCAGTTGTAGGAGTGACACTGTGGGTTGTATGATGTGTGACGGTGACAGTTATCTGATAGGTGAGAATGGTGGGAGCGTCAGTTGTAGGAGTGACACTGTGGGTTGTATGATGTGTGACAGTGACAGTTATCTGATAGGTGAGTATGGTGGGAGCTTCAGTTGTAGGAGTGACACTGTGGGTTGTATGATGTGTGACGGTGACAGTTATCTGATAGGTGAGTATGGTGAGAGCGTCAGTTGTAGGAGTGACACTTGGTTGTATGATGTGTGACAGTGACAGTTATCTGATAGGTGAGTATGGTGGGAGCTTCAGTTGTAGGAGTGACACTGTGGGTTGTATGATGTGTGACAGTGACAGTTGTCTGATAGGTGAGTATGGTGGGAGCGTCAGTTGTAGGAGTGACACTGTTGGTTGTATGATGTGTGACAGTGACAGTTATCTGATGGTGAGTATGGTGGGAGTGTCAGTTGTCTGATAGGTGAGTATGGTGGGAGCGTCAGCTGTAGGAGTGACACTGTTGGTTGTATGATGTGTGACAGTGACAGTTATCTGATAGGTGAGTATGGTGGGAGTGTCAGTTGTCTGATAGGTGAGTATGGTGGGAGTGTCAGCTGTAGGAGTGACACTGTTGGTTGTATGATGTGTGACAGTGACAGTTATCTGATAGGTGAGTATGGTGGGAGCGTCAGCTGTAGGAGTGACGCTGTTGTTTGTATGTGTAACTTTGAATGCCTCCATTACATCAGTGCCAGAAATCCTGTATTTCAGCTGTCATCACACTAAAACATTTTAGATTTTCAACAAAAGTCCTCTACACTATCAACTATCCATAACCATACTAGTGGTGTCTCTCTCCTCGAACCTCTGCACATGCACAGCCAGGTAGTCTTCACTACGCTCAGTTCAGTCAATAAGATTGGACGTGGATATAATGGTAGTATAATGGAAGTTTAACACATATTTGCTTATGTTTTCCCAAAATGGCCCTTTTGAGGTATTTCGGGATTATGTTGATCTAATATTGGAGAAAGGATTCTAGATGCAGGATGATTTTCTCCACCCGAGACAGGTGCAATGCCACAACTTTCCCTGAATCTTTAGAAGGAACTACTAAAAGACCAGCAGTCCATGCTGGACAAAGGCCAGACATGAGCGTTATGGACATGGCGCCCCAGCAGGCTGAGAAGGGTCCCTCGGCCAGGTGGACACCGAGGGGAGCAAGTGTCATGGCAGGGTGATTTGGATATGTTGCAGGGAACTCTTTCGATATATAACATCAATCAAAATGTTGATAAAAGGCAGACAAGGTTTGGGAAATCCGGGCATTTTGTCAGAATAACCCTGAGCATTCTGATGGAATGCCTGGGACTTCCAGCATCTTGACTACCTTTTAGGTTTGTCAAGAAAATAAAGGCCCTGTAAAAACAATAGGGAGACGTCAATAAAGGTTTAAAATTGTAGTTTTGCAACAGAAATGACAGCAGACTAGGTGGATGAGGGCGGCAGGATAGTTGACACCCTCTAGGTCACTTTGTTGCTTCAGAGCGCTGTGGCGCCTGCTACATTTGCATCGTTGCTATGCGACCATCTTGGCAACAGGTATATTTAATAATGGTCAAGACATCTTCTACAGTGGCTTGGGACGGTCGGGTAGCCTACTTTTAGGCAAAAGATATATGTATATATACATACACACTTGTGTTTCAGGAAACTGGACTTTTTTAGTCACTTAACTCCCTTGCCTTGGGAAGATGTGCTTCAGAGTGCTGCAGCACCTACAACCACTTCATTGCTTCAAAGTGCTGCAGCACCTACAGCCACTTCATTGCTCCAGAGTGCTGCAGCACCTTCTACAGCCACTTCATTGCTTCAGAGTGCTGCAGCACCTACAGCCACTTCATTGCTTCAGAGTGCTGCAGCACCTACTCTGCACTTCATTGCTTCAGAGTAATGCAGCACCTTCTACAGCCACTTCATTGCTTCAGAGTGCTGCAGCACCTTCTACAGCCACTTCATTGCTTCTGAGTGCTGCAGCACCTTCTACAGCCACTTCATTGTTTCAGAGTGCTGCAGCACCTTCTACAGCCACTTCATTGCCTCAGAGTGCTGCAGCACCTTCTACAGCCACTTCATTGCCTCAGAGTGCTGCAGCACCTTCTACAGCCACTTCATTCCCACAGAGTGCTGCAGCACCTACTCTGCCACTTCATTGCTTCAGAGTGCTGCAGCACCTTCTACAGCCACTTCATCGCTCTAGCATGCTGCAGCACTTTCTACAGCCATCTGGTGCAGCACCTTCGAGGTCTTCAGTGCTTTCCAGTGAGTTGTCATGTGCAACTGTCTTGTGACTTGATGACTACAGCATCCTCAGGTTTACAGGCATCTGGAGGAATCCACTTGCGATGGACCATCTCAACATGAGAATAGGTCGTATGTTATCTAAGGAGTCGCTACTGTGTGGTTATCGTCCCTTCAGTAGGGGATGTCTCCATAATGCCTCCCAGAAACCTTGCAGTCTTGAAAACATTTATATTCTACAGAAGCAGGCAATAAGAGAGACCCCGTGGGATCAGCTCTCAGTCAGACAAGAAGACTGCACATAAAATGTCTGGAGTGAGTGAGTGAGTATGTGTCACGCTGCTTTTAGCAATGTTCCAGCAATATGGTCTTCACACATTGTACCCATGTGAGGAATCAAACCCAGGTCTTTGGCTTAACCATTAGACTACCCCACCGCCCCTAAACTGTCCGGTATTTCTAGCAACAGGTTATTTAAGTAATGCTTCACTCATCGTTTGATTCTATAGGAATTTGAGACAATAAACGTAGGTCTTGCAACCTGAAGCATGGTTGTCATTGAGCAGGCAAAGGTCATGGTTGCATTCTTTAAGTTGGCACATGCAGAATTGACAGTGCACCTGTTGTTTACAAAACTGCTCCATGCCCTGTCATGCCTCAGTGGCTACAGGTGTTTCAAGTAACATCGACCCAACACTTGGGAAGATGGATAGGTTTTGTTTTTTTGTATATATTGTTTTAGATAGTTTAACAGATGGCTTGTTTCATTGTGTTGAGAGTGAGTGAGTATTGTTTTCGCCGTGTTTAGCAATATTCCAGCAATATCATGGCAGGGGACACCAGGAATGGTTTTCACATATTGTACCCATGTGGGGAATCGAATCCGGATCTTCGGCGTGACGAATGAAGGCTTTAACAGCTAGGCTACCCCACTGCCTCCATTGTGTTGAGAACTGATTTTAGTTTGAAAGTTTCCTGAATTTGTAGGTCCAGATAGCTACATCAATATGGTATGTGGAACATGTAGCTTTTTTGCAAATCTTATATATTGGTTTCTTGACAACTGTTTCCAGCTTTGATAAAAATATTATAGTTCTAAGTGAAACAATGGGTTATCCGGGTTACCTGAAACACAAGTATATATTTCTTTTGTCTGAAAGTGATCGATGAGATATATGTCCTGTAATTAGTCAATCAATTGAATGTGTCATTTTCTTTATGAAAGGATTATTGTCAAATAAGGATTGAGACATTAAGCTGGCATGTTGTGATGTATTGATCTGGCATCAACATGATGCCGTTATTAGGACTAGGACACAGAGGAGAGTTCACTATGTCCATGGCTAAGCTGTTTATGTGGGAGGGAGGCTTGTTGCCAGATACATGCAAGCATTCAAGGCAAACAGATTGTATAGTCTCAGTCTTCGAATCAGTGGGCGTGCAGTCCCAGTAGACAGTTTACATTAATGAAGCTACTGCAAGGAGGTCATTTTAATAGGCCAGCTTGCACATAGGGACTTCAGGCATTTTCTGCTGGTCAGGTGAGATGTGTGGGTTTGAATGCCTATTGGAAAAGGTTTCTTTAATCTCTTTGAGTTGAGTGAAGTCATAAACATGTTGAATGTCAAGGTCATGGTATATTGTTTGTCCTCTGTTTTTGTGAATGTTTTTGAATCTGGTTATCATTTATTGTCATGATTATGTTACATGTTTTGACATTTTCCTCTGTTCATCACAGATTGTCATGGCATTTTGTTTTTTTCTCATCTTCCTGAGGCAAGGGACTTAAATGACTGTAAAAGGGCAGTTTCCACCATTGCCAAACTAGGCTGTAATTTCTGGGCTCGATTGTAGCGCCGCCAGTGGCTATTATGAGTTATGTCCGTTCTATGTCTCTCCTGAATTTGACCAATCAGATTCCACCTTTCATATCACTTGCATTTGCTTCAAACAAAATGGCGGTACCCAGTTAAGATGATCTGTTCGATGATCAAAATCTATACTGTTATAAAAGGGTCCTTCTTCGTGAAATGCATCAAATCATGTGAACACCTTGATTAAAATCATGAAAAGATTTGCAAAATATCTGTTGATGCCGAGTTGGCGATACACCTTTTTTGCAAATCCTGGAATCAACCGAAATCTGCACGGCAGTTTATGAAACTGATGTCAATTTCGTTACGCTGCGCTCATCCAGTTGTTTCATCACATTCGTGCATGTCTTGTTTGAATGTTCTTTTACCATATTTACTGTATTATATTTGGTATTTTTCATTTAGAGCAGTAGGACTGAGCCATGTCATCTCCAAACAACGCCCCTCAAGCCCAGGCTATGAACAATGATATCATTTCGGGATCTGCTTCCCATGGCCACCGCTTCCTGATTCCTAGTCCGATACCTACCCGCAGGTCCAGGACCTTCTCAGCGTGAGTACACCTTGTACAATTAGTTCAGTGGGATGAGTCGGGGTGTACTATCTGGCCACACTGTTCTGAAGGATGCAGTGATGTACACATGCAATACTTACCCACAAACTGCAAGGAATTATGAGTAACAAGTGAATTAAACAAGTAACTTTCAACATTATTTCAAGAGAGACAGATAATCTGTAAGCTCTGAGTTGGTTATTCTTTATAAAACCTGTTGTCTTTTTTTTTTATAAATGTGAAAGATGGGGATTTTCTGATTTTAAATAGAGACATAGCTCAGTTTTTCTATATTTGGAAGGATGTAACATAAGATTGTGTGTGACCTCGTGAACAATGGCAGATGTCATCCTCAGTAAGCACTAGGGCTGTTACGATTCACTCGCGTATTCGGTGAATCGAACCGAACCATTCATGAATTGAATTCGTTATTCATGGCCACTAGAATCGAATATTTATGATTATGCTATCATGTATATTTACATTTCCTGTACTTAAAAATATCCATAACAACATATTATATGCATAGATTTCTTTCAATGACAACACTCTAATAATATTTAATTTAAAGTATTGTTTTCAATGGTCATTGTCGCATTTGAGCAGATACTAGTACCTGGCTACGTGCAGTATGTAAATGTATAATTTATTGATAATTAACAAACCATGTCAAATAAATTATGATGTTATTGTTTCACTGAATATAATAAATAATACATAAACTGCTGACTTGTTATTGTAATTGTGAATTAATATTCGTATTCGTTACCCTATATTCGTGATATGAATCGTATTCACCTCATAGTGTATTCCTTGCAGCCCTAGTTAGCACTGAGGCGTTCATGTGTCACATTACTATGGGCCTCTTCACAAACATGAGAACAATGAACAACTGATGCAAACTAGATATGAATCAAAATAATAATGCTCCATGAGAATTATTGGAATAGTTTGGCCTCTATGCATGTCCCCTTGGTTTTTCTATATGTATATAGATCATTGTAGATACAAACATGCTGAGCCAGTTTTTGATATTTCTTTTTATGATCATACATGTCATAACCTGAAAAAGCGTTTATTTGATAAATTATTAACCAAACAGTGGTGACTGTATTCCTGTTGGTGTGTTTGACATGTGACCTCCGACAATGATATCATTCCCAATGAACTCTCCAGCTCATGACATCTTTGATCCACTGTCAGTATATAGGCATGATGTTGGAGCAAGTGTATTCCTCAGTGTTCCTGTTTACTGGTAATTACCAGTATTTTACCGGTAATTCAGGTGACTTCCAGTCCCTCTGGACCGCCAAATAAAGTACCATATAAATCTTTGCTGTTGAACAAAGCATTGGCGATATTCATAAAAGTACGTTTTTCAAATGAAGTCAGCTTGTCTGTTACCATCAGCAGGGTTAGAAACTAACAGTTTTTGTCCGCTAGTCCTTATAATGATAACATATAGCAAAACCCTTAAAATGGGTCAATTTCCACTCGTCCTTAGGATACCTTTACTATTGGGCAGTTTGGTAAGGACTACAGCAATGTACAGGACTAGTGTCTATTTTTATTGCAGGGAAATAACATTTTGCTTTGCCTCGAGGTTAAATATCTGTTTGTAGTGACTTTGTCTCAAAATATTAAAAAAAGGAGAAAATTGTGACTGAAGTTAGTGTGAATGATGTATAGATCTAATTAAGTTACTTCAGAGATGATGTCTTTGCACTGAACATGATGTTGAAAGAATTAAAACCAAGTAATTTTCATACATTTTTTTATTTGTTGAAAGTTGGGACTGGCAAAGGGGGAACTGGTAATTATTAGAGTTGTCATTCCACCAGAACTGTCAGTTTCAAAAGCCAGCGGGAACCCTGATTCATGTAAACTTGTGCCATTAATCTTGTAGAATGCAGAATTATCTATTACAATATGATACAAACATGGCAATACAATTTCTTTTACAAATTTGACCAATCTGCACAGCCATATTTACAATATGGATTGATATGTAATCGTGCAATATATGTCAATATTGTCTGACATAGCAATACTCATCATTGCTCATCCTGGGGCCACGGAGAACCAAAAAGGGGATATTGTAAAAACATAGCTCTGATTGAAATGTGACATCGGTTATGAAAAATGACCCATAAAAAAACAGCATATTACAACAGGTCAACATGTCTGCTTAAATAACAGTTTTTGATAACTCTTGTATGCACACCTGTATTACCATGAGATAAAATTATTTTATAATTCGTTTTCATTCCATTTCACACATGCTCCTCAGCAGTCTGACTTTAGCTGCTAGTCCAACCCAAGTCTAGTAAAATTCTTTTACATCCAGTAAGTTCAATAATGCTGAGAACCAACTTCAAGCGAGTAGACTCAAAAACTTTTTGCACAGACTGCCTCGGTGTTGGAAACCAAGCTTGAAGGTCAAGGTTATAACCCTTAATTTGGTGATAGTTAAGTTACAATGATTCAATAAAAGAACGATTAAGTATTATGTGCCCTCAAGTCTCAGGGGGATGACAATTGAATTGGGGGTGGGGGAATGGGTGGCAGGGGTGTTCAATTACCGGTAGTATGCCCGACTTGCCCGACCCATGAATATTAAGTGCTGGGCAAGTGGGATAATTTGGTTACCCTCGGCAAGTATGAAATTCTGCGGTATTAACTTTATAACTTAGAAGATGCATTGTGTATTTGTCAGCTTCAGATGGGTACCTGAGTTGTCATTGTTTTTCAGTCCTCAGCAGCACATCTCCCTTTAGCTGTTGCTTCACTTGATAAAGTTCTGTTGTTAAATTGGTTGTGATTTTTCCACCATGTGGTGTGTTATTGTAACTTGAGAGTTGTGTATCTCGTGGCACTGTGCGATTAGTTCTTGTTCATCCTATCTCAGTGAGGATGTCCAGAAGATGGTCACTTTAGATTTATGTCTACATTTCTAAGACTGTCATGTTATCATATTACACCTGCTCCTAGCTGAATACCTTGACATTCATTGCAGTATGGACGTGATAACAGAGGAAATAAGATTTTGTAATGGAGCCGATATTAATACCTTATCTCTTACTATTCTTACGGTGTTGCCTGTATATGAATAAGTAAGGTCATGAAGTGAATCTTCAATGTTGTTCTCTCCTTGCAAATTGAATTGTCTGGTACATGATATGTTTTCAGCTTCAACATGTTCAAACATGAGCAAGATAACCGGTTACTGCGTGTATACTTACATTGTGGTCATAATATTTCTTTGCGGTATCATCCTACTAGGTACGCAGATTGGCTTTGGAGGTGGTAGATCATTTGTCAGAAACCTGATGGTGATGTTTGATACATTAATGTTTTTGATTGCCAATGGTCTAGTAAATAAATCCAATCTTACGAGCACAATCTCATGAAAATAATACATCCAAGAAATGAATGAATGCACATGAATGCTGATAAGCCTAACCGAACATAGAATGTAAGTTGTGCAAGTTACTTAATATTTAAGAACAAATTTATTGGTTTACAAACAACTGAAGTTAGAAAAATATAATAAGATGATATTTGACAAATCTTTTCAGGGTTTGACTTTTTTGAGAAATATCATTATTAAGCATTGTCATAAAGCATGATCATTCCTCCTGTTGGGAGGACAGAGTTAATTCCATTACAAGCTCCGGACTCCTGTTAGTATTTTAAAGTTCAATAATGAAAACCAAGGGCGATATCCGTTTGGTATTAACCCCACTTTTGTTGCAAATGTTTGTGGGTGTTTGAGGTGAGAGAATCTTCTGAAACTGGTGTCAAGCCATTGACAACCCACACAAAATATGAATATAGAGGTTTTTATTATTCTTGTATGTTTTCTACAATCAACCATCTTTCAGCTTCCTGACACAGTGGAGTTAACTGACTGAAAGTTCCAGTTGTCACCCTTGCTGTACTAGGCTGGAATTTCTAGACTTGATCGTAGCCCCACCAGTGACAATTACAAGTTATGTCCCTCCAATGTCTCCCCCCCCCCCCCCCCCCCCCAATCATATTCAACATGGATTATTTCGGATCTGTATTTAGACAGACATTGGCATTGATGATGATTCTTGGTTTGAATTCAGTAGTTTAATTATACCATACTGGTGTGTTTTCTGTTCTATTTCACTCCTTCTTTCCATAGGGTATATTTTAAGGTTATATTTGGATTCTATCTATATAACACATAACATTGCTTCGTGCGCAACACAGAATGTGTAAGCGGGAAAAACAACTAAACACTGTTTTATTGAAGAATGTTTTTAAAACACAGGTTTTTTTTACAATTAAAAAAAAGGAAGACACACCTTGTACTTTTTGATTACTTTTTTTTATTGGTATGCAGTAACTAGATTAAGAAACTCAGAAGTTGAAGAAATAGAAATAACTTATTACATGTATCGTATATGTATAAGAAATATATGAAGAATGGGAATTATTTATTACACAATTAAACACTGGACGGAGAAAAAAACATGAGGGGCGCAGCGCAGAGTGGTTTATTCTCCCTCCTGTGTTTTATTGTACGATACAATGGCCACGAGTCGCTGATTTCTGATTTGAGATATTAACATTATGTACAGCCTCTTGAAGGATGTTGATAAATGTTCAAGTTTTAAAAATATTTACCCAAATTTTAATAATGATGACTCACTGAATAGAAACCGACGTTGGAAATGTCGGACAAGTCCATTTTGCAAACAGGTGGATTTAGTTTGGTGTTTCTCGCATATTTTCACAATCCTCACATCGATCATCTGTACCTTTTCTCCTAATACTGATTGTCATATCGTTAGGCCATTGCATTTATCTGCGGAACCCATCTATATCTATAGGAAACAACTTATACTAGACACTTCCCTCTCAAATATAACGTCGTCCAATATATGACGTCATCTAGTTGTGAGTGCATATTCGAATCTCCAGAAATAATGTCCTGATAGAACAATGTTTTATCGTGAAATAAACCATGCCTAGTTCTTCATTGTTCTTTGCGATTTATCTTGTAGCTATCTCATATAATGTGTTAAAAATGTCTGCCCTGGTCACTAGGCGATAATGTTATAAAAAGAGCAGTATTGGCTGTCTTATTAAGAGTATTGATTTGTCTTGTTCAATGCTGACCTATGCTGTGTCTATTAGTGTATATGTCTATGTGTTTATGTCAGCATCTGATGCCGTGTTTACCTCATCTTAATTTGGTTTGATACACCATGTACATGTCATGCATTCCATGTTTGCTCTATGGGGAGTTTTTCATGTATTATCAAGTTACGATATGTCATGTTCTGCCAAGTTTGCCAAGTGTTTGTATTGCCTTGCATTAGCACCCGACGCCACCTTTGCCATGCTGTTTACTTTGCCAAAGTACACAATGTAGATGTCCAACTTTCCATTTTACATGTATTATTATTTATTACATTTCATGCTGCCATGTTTGCCAAAGTGTTGTATTCTGTTATGTCCCAGTAGTTCAGTTCAATAAATATTATTGCGCCCGATCATTTTAAGAATTGATTGTGGTGATCATGCTGATGATGTGCTGAAGGATGTTTCGGTAAACAATTGAACATAGACAAAGAGAGCAAAACAAATTCCACAGAAAATGTTTTGTTGTAATTCTGTTTATTTTTACCAATTTCTTGGATATAATTATAGGGTCAACAAGAAAGTTTTCCCCGAGCAGTTTTCTGGTGCTGATTCGTGAGTTTGATATTGATTCCAGATTATTGGCGCTTGTGGTAACCTTGACGATCTCCAAGTGAGGGTGTAAAGTGTGTAATTTAGGCCTGTTGTTAGCCGTCAAGGTGGCATTGTTACTGTGAGCTGTTAGCTGCCTCACTTTGAGATGTCTTTGGTCGACCCCAGTACAAACCTATCTGTCATGTCTTTGGGCAAATGTGTAAATCCAGGAGAAAAGGTTAAATTAGAACAGAAGAGGCAGTAACAGGGCTCAAGGGACTTCGTCCATCTATACAAGTTGAGTCAATCAAGGAATTGTGATCCCAGAGCTTAAGCAGAAGGACAGCCTTATTCTGTTCAATTATATGCCACACTTTTACACAAATTAGATTATCCTTATGTTTCAATGCGAGTCTCTGTGAACTTGGTCTGACAGTTGGTGGAGGGTATTACAAATTAGAAAAAGAATATTTGACAGAAAAACTAAACTGAAATTGATGGATCGGATTATCATGTTTATGTCGTGTGTGAGTGTCATTATGTCAGTATTTTTAACAAAAAGAGCTTCTGCTAGTATATCTGGAAACACAAGTTTGGGGAATCAGGTTCCTTAAGTAACCTGCTCAGAGTGATGAATACAAGTTTGTTTGTTTGTTGGTTAACACTGCACTCAACAATATTCTGGTGATCTGTAAATAATCAAGTCTTGGTCATACAATCCTGTGATTGGCATCATGAGCATTGATACATGCAATTAGGATACAATGACATGCATCAACCAAGTCAGCGAGTCTGACTGGCAGATCCCATTAGTCACCTCTTACGACAAGCATAGTTCAAATACCAAATGAGAATGATTTGTTTGGGTGAAAAAAGTACCTGGAACACTGTTCTTTAGCAGTATTGTATGTTACCATGGTGAGAGCTTAGAGGTGTGGCCATGGTTAGAGGTTAGAGGTGTGAAGTGACTGTTGCTGGTTATCAGCCAGTGTTGTACAGAAATAATTATGTGATAAAGGTGTTCATTCTCCTTTTGTAAAGATTAATTTCAGCATAATTCAAGTTGAAAAATGTGGTTGTAAAATATAAAAATGGCCCCTGATTGCATGGTGTCTACATGGTCTAAGTGCTGAGTGTTTTCTTATAATTATTCATAGATTCAATGAAGTTTGAAATGTTTTCACCTGACAATCGATTATCATGATTATGGACTCATATGATTAATAATTGCATTGTTAACATGTATACAATCAAATAGCAGCCATAAGTTTAAGTCATGAATTCATCTAAAACATAACTAGCTTTGGATGTTGTGGTTGTGACTGCAAAAGACTGGTGAACAATGCTAATTGGGAATATGTGACGGTGACCAGTTGGTAAAAGGCATGTTGTGACAATCTGACTACAAATTAGATGCAGTACATATGAATTCCAGGGAAGAGAAGGTGCCCATGTCCTTGATTATCCTAAGTATTACATGTTCATCAATCATGATAAATACCCTGGACCCATTTGCTGACAAAATCATGTGTGAGAGAGTTTCTTTGGGAAGAGGTATAGATGGGGATGTCACTGCCCCAAAAGCTATGGTAGCAAATGGTTCCAGTGTATTTGGAGATTTGATACACTTGATGATCGAGGATGAGGTCCCGGGTATATGGGTTTGTCACTGGTCAGTCTGAGTGATTTTGTGGGCATCGTACCCCAATGATGTGGATTGTTGCTTAGTCACTTGTTTCCTGAGTCACTAGTGACACTAGTGACATATAGCTTGACAAAGCTGCTTTCAAATGGCTCATGTCAATTTCTTGTTAGTCTTTTCATTGGTCGCTCAATTTTCCAGAATGGTTGTTCTGACGTGACCCGTAATGGGATGTCCTCAGGTCTTTGGTTAGTTTCCTGACTCATCTTCAACTGAAAATTGCACTGTGTCATACATTGAAGTATCACCTGAGGGTTTAAGATTGACTCAGTGTCTGTTGTTGAATACATTTCATTTAGGACACCTTCTCATACCAGCCATATGCATATTCACTGCATATTAATACTTGAAATGAAAGGTATCATGTCGCAAATTGAAGAAAAAAAAATGTGGCTTTTCCCTTAAACTATAATTAATTTTGTTTTGGGATTTTTTGACATTAGCATTCCAGAGTGATGCCATATATATCTCATAGCTGTTTCATTTCACACAGCTGCCTCCCTAGAGCGTCTGCCCGGAGAGCGGAAGGTACGGGGTTCAATCCCCGGCTGCGTCATACCAAAAGACACTAAAAGATGGTGCTTGTTGTTACCCTGTCTGGCGCTCAGCATTAAGGGGCTAAAACAAGGACTGGTCGGCTCGGAGTCAGTATACTGTGTTTGAGTGGGGTATTCATGTTAAACTGCGGCATGGTATCTCAGTGAGCTAACACACACACACACACACACACACACACACACACACACACACACACACACACACGTGCACGTGCATGCACGTCGCCTCACACAAAAAGAAAACTTCAGAAGCTTACCAGTAACTCTATTTATCTCCTAAGGAACACTACTGACACATGCAAGTTCATCTCTCTACCGGTAGCTCCTGCATGTGTCAATGTGATTACCATGATCAAGTGAATTAGCTCAGAGACCATATACCGATATGTGGTCTAGGAATAGCTGTTGGCAGGGAGAATAACAAATCTGAGCTGCAGCTGCCACTGTGTCATCAGTCACCTTGTTGGTGGATCAGTGCTCTATAATGAGCCGCTCAGACCAGATTATGTTTACACAGTAAGACTATTAGCTTGATCAGACACATCCTCCATTATTCAGTGTATAATGTCTCCATTCTGTTATTATGAATACTCTTTTAGTAGGAAAACATGTTTTTCCTGAGTATTAAAATAGGGGAATAGAGTTTCTTAAGCTGTAGACATATTGTAGGTGGCATGCTATAAGGTGATTTGTGTACCATGGGTTTACTGGTGTTATTTATAGCAGTTTGCTATACCAGGTAATTGTGTAAGAGCTGTGTAATGAGAATTGTGTCATGTCTCAAAAGGAAGCTGTGTCATTTATTATGGTGAATGGGTCCAGGGTACATACATAATAAATTGACCCGTGAAGAACCGGGGTAGAATAGGTCTTCAGCAACCCATGCTTGCCGTAAAAGGTGACCAGGCTTGTCGTAAAGGGCGACTAACGGGTTCGGGTGATCAGGCTCGCTGACTTGGTTGATGCATGTCATCGATCCCAATTGCGTGGTTTGATGCTCATGACATTGATCACTGGATTGTCTGGTCCAGACTCGATTATTTACAGACTGCCGTCATAAAGCTGGAATATTGCTGAGTGCGGCGTAAAACAACTAACCAACCAATCAACTAACATAATAAATTATGATACGCTTGGGGATGGATCAAACACTTTGACCTGGAGCAATCCAATCTCATTAAAATCAGATCTTAGTTCTTGCAACCACTAAACAAAGATCTGAGAACATCCTATTACAGGTCACGTCAGAACGACCTTTCACAAACTTTGACCAACCAATGAAATGACTAACATTCAGTCGACATTGACCAATCAGAAAGCAGCTTTCTCAAACAGCACGGCACTTGTTTCAAACTGGCAACTTCCGAAAACTGAACAAAAGAACATGCTGGAATATCTAATCTACATTGCTGAAATTGTATGGCAGTACGTCCCACGGGCTGTGCAAAGTCTCTTCTGTTCAAATGTTTATCCCATTGAAGCGAGAGACGGATTAAGTCATACAGGTCGTAACTGTTGTTTGGAATACCTTTTTGAGGTTGCATGATGAGAAAGCACATTCCGACTGTGATTTTCCGGATCTGGTAAGTGATGCTGTGATTGGTCGGATGAAATGTTGCTCTGATGTGACCCGTAATGGGATGTCCTCAGATCTTTGTTTAGTGGTAGCAAGAACTAAGATCCGATTTGAATGAGATTGGGGGCAATCTACTTCATGATATATGTATGCTTCAGGCAGCTGTTTCATACGTGGAGTTATGAAAATCTATAGCTTAGACATGATAGAAGCTCCATGTATTTCATGAAGCTAAAATACTTATGCTGGAAATGAAGAATAGAGGACTTTTAATTGTAGAGCTGTTCATGGTTTTTACGTCTCTATATATTTTATGTTTCAGTTCCGAGCGGGCAGAGAAAGGGCCATTATTTCATGGAACGGTGAAGACATTTTGTCGACAGATAGGCCATGGGTTTATTCAGCCCCAGGATGGATCGGACACCTTATTTGTACACATATCAGAGTATGTAACATTTTATCCCTGATTGTTTTCGATCAGAACGGACGCCATTCTGTACCGTGGTTGCAGTCTCAATTTCAGTTATCAACATAAAATTGGTAATCATGGTAATATGATGCAACAATATGATGAAAGTCTAGATTGTGTCTGTGATGTGTCAACAATGATCATGTTTTTATCATACTGTCCAGTTTTGTATACATGTGCATGTTCAATAATCAGCTATTTCTGCATGTACATTGTTAGATGTGACAGTTACAAAAAAGACATGAACTCTATGGTTAATGATTAGTGATGTGGCATCGGTTGAACCTAATATTTTCAGTAGGTTTCAAGGGCAAATTCAAGGATCAGTGAAGACCAGTTCTAATCTACATACCGGTATATATCTTTGCTTGATGTACCCAGACAATAATTATCACCATAATAATGAAACAACTTTAATGATATTGGTAGATGTGCTGTAAGCATGATTAAAACTAACATCCCTAGACCTTTGTAATGTGTTCAAAAGTATTCGCCACTATTGTGACGTCATATGTTCTGCAGATTTGAAGTCAAAGCATTGTGACATGGTAGAAATGACGTCACAGTACGTGATAGAACAGCAACAGTCAAGCTGTGGTGATGTTACTGAATTTACAATATACTCTCTAATTATTTGATCACCAAATTCTCCGCCTGAAATCTGTTGCCACACTTGCTGTGAATTATGTGGGAACCAAACACATGAAATAACATCAGTACTTGAAATTTGCCACATGAGCGGGTTGTGTTACATGAGCTTCCGAATAATTTTCTCTCGTGGATTTGAAAGAAGGATTCTAAAATGTCATGATGGAATGGCATGTGACTTGAATAATGCTGAATGCACTCACTCAGATTCACATTGCCCACATTGTCTGTTTCAGCATTGATGGTGAATACGTTCCAAAAGAGGGTGATGAGGTGACCTACAAGACAGTTCTAATTCCTCCCCGGAATGAGAAGATTCAAGCTGTGCATGTGAAGATCACTCACCTCAAACCAGGAGTCTCTCATGAAAAATGGGACTCGCCTCCTCAGTAAAAGCGTCTGCACATTGCTGGCTTGTCAGTCTGTATGTGTTGCAGTTGCCTGTGTTGTCTGAGAGACATACCATAGTAACCAAAGAAATGAGAAGGAAACTTACTTTCCTAGAAACTGATTCACAGTTAACAACTGATATTATTGTATGGTATATGCCAGAGAAGAATGCTAAAGGATGATGACATTATTAGAAATTTGTTGCACTGAAAATTGACCAATGTATTCATATTTCAATTTTGTTTCAAATGATAAATACATCTTTCAGTAAGAACAGTCAGATTATTTGACCTGAATATATCTTATGCATTAATATTTGAATCTATGGATATATTTTCTGAAGAAAGAAAATATGAATGTAATTAATTACAAGAAGATTATGGGCATTTGGACACAAGAAGTATTTTTGTTTATAAATTATGTTGATTGGGATGGAACCAGATAGAACCAGTGCTCCATTTAGTTGATCGTCCATTCCTATGAATGAGACGATACACTTGGCACTCAGCAGCCTGTATGTTGCTACATTGCATGATGCAGGTAACTCCAGACATTGGGAATCAGGATTCACCACCATCATAACTACAGGGATAGAATTTGGCACTTGCCCGCTAGTCCGAGACAGTCTAATGTAAAGGTGTCCTGAGGGCTGGTAGAAGTTCAGACTGTTAAGGGGTGTCCCTTTGTGTTACCACCATTCAGACTTTTCAGTTAATTTCAACCACTTCAGTGTTTGAAAGTGAGGACTTGAGGTCGATGAGGTCTTCTATGGGATTTATTATTTGAATCTATGGGCCTTCAAACAGTTTATCATTAGGGTTATGTCAAGGACCCCATGACTTTAAACACAACCAAGACATATTTAATGCCTCGGCAACAGGTATCCAATGCAAACTGACTGAAACTGTCTGATGGTACCATTATTGAATTTTCCTACCCTGTAACATGCCCTCTTTGTGTATTTGGACGTGTAATGATATTACCCCAGAACTCATACTTTTAATAAGGCACAGTAGTATTGGGATGTACCTTTACTTCGATGAATCATTACAGTTATATCAATCCCACAGGTCAAAGTGATGTTATCAGCAGGAAAAAGTGTGATTAACATACATGGATCGAGATTGTGTCCGCACACCCGTTTTGACCCATAGCAATCATGTTGATGTATAAAAAATATATAACTAATTCCTTTAGTGACACATTTTAACAAAAATAACAATTAATGGACTAGTTTATTGGCTAATAAACTGTTTCCTGAATGATTTCCATTCATTATTGTATATGTTAAGTGCACCTGCTTTTCCAAGAAGCTGTTTCCATGCTTGTATTATATGTTTCTCCATGAAATACATGACGGTTCTGACTGAAGAACACTGCGTCGTGATGATCTGTTGATTCTCTGTACATCAGTTAAAGGTTAATTGTTTGTTTTTCAACATGGACAATAGTCTCCATTCATTTTGGACAGTTGATATTTGTCTGGTGTATTGCTGTGTGCAGTGCAGTTGGTAAGCCCTGTGGCTCTAGCTCATGACAATGTCGCTTCCAATGTCACCATGCCTATTGTCCAGTCATTGACCCACTGACCTTAAACTCCAATGCTGTTTTACTTCACGATATAGACATTATAACTTGCACAGTAAATATCTATGATCCAAGATGGCAGAAAAAACATGTGACCTACAGCTATAGTTAAGTTTACCTGAACATTGCAAAGTTTCATCTTATTTTGACTTGGGATTATGAAAAACTTCAAAGGGTGTCAGTTGAAAGTAATCTGATTTGAATCCAAGATGCCAAACTGCTTGACCTGTAGCTAGGCCAAGGTCCTTTGACATTGCCAACGGATCACACATTTCCCATAATGTAAGAAACTACCTACTTCCTACCATGTTGTTCAGTATTATTGCTCATGTTCTTCAGTATCTGTGACAACATTTCAACATCAACTGTGAGCCTTTATTTGTACCTTTATACATATACATAATCTTTGAATATTACCTGAATGCTCTTTTTGATATTTGTAGTTTTTGACAGGTTTAGTCTCGTGTTAAACTTCACACATGATCAAAAGCATGTGACCGTACTGGGATTTTTTGACACTGGAACATGTGGAAAGAAATTAATCTCACACTTTGACCATAAACACAGACTGACAGGTTGGTTGTATATTTTGATCATAGACACTGACCGAATTAATCCCCTGATACAACGTTGAAGCCATTCTTGGTGCCATGATAATGTTGTAGTACAGTAAACTACGGTTATAACGAACTCAAAGGGACCACTAATTTCAGTTTGTTATGACCTCAGTTGGTTATTAGCATTTTGACTGTCAGACATCTTCAATCAAGGCACGTGACCACATCCTATTACTTGATAGAAAACGAAAGTGTGCACTGTAGTCATTGCATTTTACATACGAAATATATCCACTTCAAAGGCTTTAGACTAAGCACTGTGTTACTATTGTTAATTGAGGGTGTGAATTATGACAAGGTGTCAGTACTTAATCCAGTTAATCACTTGCCTTCAATTGTGTATTGCCGCTTTGAACAGCCGTGCATGGCCACAGGAATTTTGATAGGCTGATTGGTGACACGTGAGCAGCTCAGAGATTAACAGTTCTTTATAAATTTAAACATTGTCGTTGACAGAGAACACACGGGATCACAAAGCGAGTTCGATATATCCGTAATTGCGTTATAAGCGTGTTCGTTATAAACATAGTTTATTGTTAAAAGTGTCATATACCATACTCGATCTCTAATACTCTATGTAGTAGTCAGTCTTTGTTAAAGTAAAGTATGAAAAGAATTGTTGGTCAGTTGAAATAAATTGAAAATGAAAAAGGTTGTCAAGTGAAATTGTTACCTCGTTTCCTGTTTGGACCTACAGTGATATCATTTCATGACCTAAATTGGTCATCCGATTTGTCGGGAAGAAATATTGACAGTCCTAAAAATTCTGTTTTGTGGAATTTTGTGTCTTCAGATCTGTGAACCAAGTAATTATTAGGAAATACCCCCTATGATGACAGTCTGTATGTAACCATGGTAACAGGCACTTAGTTGTGTTGTCAACCTTTGTCTGTGATCAACACAGCCATGGATGCATTTAGCATTCTAACCAAGACAGTCTTACAATCTTATCTTGTAGTCATTCAATGGCAGCAGTTAGGGTAATTCTCAGACTACAACTTCATTGTACATGGTTGGAGATTTATACTGCATTTAATGTATGATGATTGTGTTTGGTAGTTATTCTGTAAATAGCGTAATTTGAATCTACTGTTGGTTTTTCACCCCAGTGCATTATTCCATGTCAGAAAACACCATGTCTTATACATTTAGGAGTTTGTACCTTAGAGTTAGAGATGAACACTATTCTCAGAGGGCTGGTGGAATGTAGCCCAATAGCCTTCCTAGCTTATTATATCACACAAAACTAAATCTTGTGTTATTTTTTTCACTTACTCAATGCAGTTTATTGTGCGATACGCTTATTTGGTCTGTTCTCCCTTTTCCAGTCTTTGGTAACAATAAGGGGCTACTGCATGTTTATGTCTGTACATTTCCTGACATCTGTACCATTTGGTTATTGAGTTATTAGATACTTTTTAAGCAACGTTTGGTAACATTTTACTGTGCGAAGGATACTATAGCGCTAATAGAGTCAGGTTGCCGACTGTGGCTCTCACTTCTCAGATCACAGTGCCTCTTCAATCCTTAGAGTTAGTTGTGCAGAGGTTAGGTAGGTTACTCCCAACTCTATTGGGGGCACGTGTGGCCCAGTCGTCTGAGGCGCCGTGATTCGCTGTGCAGAGTTGCGTCCCTTGGGCAGAAATCTATGATTGTGGGTTTGAATCCCAGTTCACCCCGATTATTATGTTTCTAGGTTTGTCAGCACCATACCCGTGCTCGTGGGTTAGACCGAAGTGGTAAACGTCTGATTCCTGCATCACTTCGGGTTTTCCTCCCACATTAAGCTGACACGCCGTGATATGACTGGAATACTGTTAAAAGTGGCGTTAAACCCAACTCACTCACTCACCCAACTCTATCCTTTACAATCATTAGGGTTAGGTACCCCTTTCCGATCAAACATTCCTTCACGATCCTTAGGGTTGGGCACCACTTGCCAATCAAACACCCCTTAATGATCCCAGGGGTTAGTGAGGTAGGGTATGGGTAAGCTATCTCTTTTAATGAAGTGATCCAATGTAATGTGAGGAAACTCTTTACAAGTTTTATCAAGTTGAGTTTTGCTTTGAAAATGGTTACTGCGCTGGAAACAATCAGGTGCTCATGACGCGATAAACAAGAACTAATTATTGTGATAGTGCCCATGGTCCTGTGGTAGGGTGTTGGCTAATTAGATTAACTCGTCAGCAAAGCTTAGCTTCAAGCTTTCAATGTGGGTTCGATGCTCCATGTGGCGTTAATTGAAATCTGCAAAAGTGAGCCTGGTAAAGTGCTCTACCCCCCCAGTGTTTCGTGAATCGTTGCATTTACTGTTTTAGTCCTTGGTGACATGCTGTGTGTTCTGTAGTTCACTGAAGAAATATACTTTCTGTCCTGTCCAAGGCAGTGGAATGATCGTCCACACAGACACCAATCTCCTTAAAATCAGATCTTTTACTTTAAAACGATACATCTCTGTGTGAATATCTGACAGAATCTTGAGAGGTCGTTTCAGGTTAACCCGAAGCGAACTGTGACTGAGCACTGTAAGTGACAGATGCATTGGTTCTTGAGCCAATCAGATGTCAGCTTAATTTCTTTACCACTGCCTTTTCATAACAAAAACACATAGAATTTTTTCCCCTTTTGGGTCTTCATGCCATGGTGAAATGATGGTGTACAAATATCCCGAACATAAAAAAGCAGAGCCTTATTTATTTTTTGAATTTTTGCTGGTTTTTGTTTGTTTTGAGGCATAAAAATCACATATACTGGTGAATGCTTGGCTTGCTAGTACTGATAACTTAGAAGCCTCAAAGTTGATTGGCTGATGACATTTACCTGATGCAGCCTATTATGGAGGTGTTATCAGATCTTGACGGAGAGAGGTACCATATCGGAGTAAAAGATCTCATTTTGAAGACAAAACAGTTGCGAAGCCATTCTTGTTCCCCTTGGTGTAGACTCTGAATATTAATTAGATCGTTCACTACGTTAACAGATCGTTATTATAAAAGAAACAAACGTATGTTTTCCATGTAAATCTAAAATGATATTATTTGTTATTAATTGTCCGGTGAATTAAACAATTTAAATTGAAACAATTCATAATTCATCATATTATGAATACGTAAACTTGTAATGTGTGTGAAAAGTCGTACTAAAATACGCTATTTGAAGGGGGCGTGGCCTAAATGCAAATGTCCGATTGGGATTTTAAATTTTCCGGACCCTTGGTGTAGAGCTTGGAGTCACATACATTCTGCCTGGGTTGTCAGATGTAATAAAATACTGTGTATTTCACATGCTCAAGGCAACTGTGACCGTTCTGATCATGTTATTGTAAACCACCGTTTTGTTTCCAATCCCTGTTACAGATGTAGATGGGTAAAGTTGTTTAAAAGGTAAGAATTTAAACAAAATCTTTTTACCTAATAGCATGAGCTACCCTGGTCCGTCTTAACCAGTGGTCTGTTGTTTGTTGTATAGACAGAAGATTGATCAATATGGTGAAAATATAATCATAATTATGGTGGTTTTTTTCAGTCTATCAGTGAATTTATGCTATCATTTATTTACCTTTCAGCATGTTCAGTTTAGTTTACAGTATACAATTTCATCACTCTTGGCGTGTGGGAAAGAAGAACCAGTTAAAACATTTGTGTTTGTGAAGTCTTTGGTTTGCTGAGAAGTGCAGTTAAGATAATTTGTTATCTTATACTGTTAACAGAAGCCCACATATTCTGTCAGTATTGATCAATTAAATGATGGGTGGGGAATGGCTAAACAGGTTCATATAAACTGACACACAATGGAAACACATAATCAACTTTTAACTAAAAAATCAGAAAACATGTGTTTTGGGGCTTTTCGCACATTGTTATTGTGTTTATCTCATGCCTATATACCCAGAACAACTTAATTTGCTGTTTGTGGCCATTTCGCCAAATATTACAAAAAGTTGAATATGCATTTTCAAAGTGTTTCAGTATTTATGGTAGATTATTTGTATATCTAAAAGTGCTGTTTTGTTGCTGTAAAATATAACTCCATGTACTTTCTGAAATTCCTATTATAATAAATCTATTTATCTACAGAAACTTTGCTCATTCTTCTGAATTTGATGTTGAATTCATTCTTGTAGATGAAGAGTGAGTGTTCACACTTTGCACTGAAATATGGCTACCTAAAAATGGGTCATTAACACCATATTGGTGAAGTCATTGGTGACTGTGACTGTTCAATTCTTACCTGTTAAATTCATATTAGTACATTTTATGTTGCTGTGTAATGATCTGTATATATTTCACTCCGTTAGACAGGCTACAGTTTCTCTAACTGGTGTAGACTCTAGGTGCAATAAATTCTTTCTTCCCATACTCATTGGTTTCATTTTGCTTGATTAGGTTTTATGGGATTCCTGGAGAGATTAAATTATAATTATGCATTGTCATGTAGTCATGTTCAGTGGTTACAGCATTCGTGCGCAAGTCAAAAGGCTCATTTTCCATTCTCCCAAATGGGTAAATGCCCATTTCGGGGTTCTTCCAGCTTGATATTGCTATTAACGACATAACACATTCAATACCAACAAGAGACCAGTTCCCACTCACATATGGATACTAAGTCCACCAACATGTACCAACAAGAGACCAGTTCCCAGCTGCATATGGCCACCAACATGTACCAACAAGAGACCAGTTCCCACTCACATATGGCCACCAACATGTACCAACAAGTGACCAGTTCCCACTCATATATGGCAACCAACATGTACAAACAAGAGACCAGTTCCCAGCTGCATATGGCCACCAACATGTACCAACAAGAGACCAGTTCCCAGCTGCATATGGCCACCAACATGTACCAACAAGTGACCAGTTCCCACTCACATATGGCCACCAACATGTACCAACAAGAGACCAGTTCCCAGCTGCATATGGCCACCAACATGTACCAACAAGAGACTAGTTCCCACTCACATATGGCCACCAAGTCCACCAACATGTACCAACAAGAGACTAGTTCCCAGCTGCATATGGCCACCAAGTCCACCAACATGTACCAGCAAGAGACCAGTTCCCACTCACATATGGCCACCAACATGTACCAACAAGTGACCAGTTCCCACTCACATATGGCCACCAACATGTACCAACAAGAGACCAGTTCCCAGCTGCATATGGCCACCAACATGTACCAACAAGAGACTAGTTCCCACTCACATATGGCCACCAAGTCCACCAACATGTACCAACAAGAGACTAGTTCCCAGCTGCATATGGCCACCAAGTCCACCAACATGTACCAGCAAGAGACTAGTTCCCACTCACATATGGCCACCAAGTCCACCAACATGTACCAACAAGAGACAAGTTCCCAGCTGCATATGGCCACCAAGTCCACCAACATGTACCAACAAGAGACCAGTTCCCAGCTGCATATGGCCACCAAGTCAACCAACATGTACCAACAAGAGACCAGTTCCCAGCTGCATATGGCCACCAAGTCCACCAACATGTACCAACAAGAGACCAGTTCCCAGCTGCATATGGCCACTAAGTCTGGCCACTTCTCAGCAGATTTTTTTCTTAAACCAAAAGAATCAAGTTTTGTAATTTTCTCGATGAAGAAATGACTGAAAAAGGTTTATAAAACAACCAGTTTATTTCCCACATGGCATGTCTGTACAGACAGCATAACAAAATATAACAAGCACAAATATGTTTCAACAGTGATGAGGACGAAACTCCACCCCATACAAGACCTGCACTGATCTCGCTGTGGATCAATGGCAGGGATCTACACAGACCTATCATAACATTTGGTGAATAATTTTTGAAACTATTCACATCAATCTGTCAAAAACGCACTCCACTGAGGTTCGTTAGATGGAACTTTGGTTTTGACAGTTACTTCTGTTTTTTGTTCTTCAAACAGTCTTTATCTGAGATATATCAATATGTGTTTTGGCAGACTATGTAAACATGAGGATAGAATTAAATAGAATTAAATAGTAAGACACCATATGATAATCAATATATATAATACCATGAGTTAACCCACAGACAAATAATTTCTTATCAGTTATAGTGAATGACTTTGTAGCACTCTTGATGTTTTTTCTTAAGAAGAGTTCCAACAGCTTGGGGGCTATTTAGCATTAAATATTTCAACTACAAACATCCATACATATTCAGATAGTGGAAACATTTTGTCACATGATACTGCATGATCACATGTATCAACTTCCTTCAAATTGGACTTTGACAATATATGACAACTAAATTTTGAGGATGTTAACATATTATCAATTAGACCTTTTACCATCTAGGTGCATTCCCCACATGTAAACTTCCAACCCAGTGCTAAAGCTATGTCCTCATCCCATCGGACTTCTACATGACATGACATGACATTATTTACATGACGTCATGAGACATGATAGACATATTACCTATACATCACTTAAATATAAGTTCTGTGACTTGCTTCCTTGTGTCTTCAGGGCTTGTGACGGTATGGCCGATTGTTCTTGAGTCTGCGAAGATTTCATGGTCATTACCTCCCTTGAAAATACAAAACAAAGGTCATGATATTTTTTACATAAAAAACAATCACAAGATAAATATATCTGTGCAACTTGGTGGAAACAAATGACGGCACAGACCGACTGCTGTTGAACAAGAACGTATGGTGAAAGAAGATGATATTCCTGTTTTGAATGTTTATGAAGAATAAAACACCACTCTCATTCACTCTTAATTTGTGATGAACAGAGTGAGCTCCCTTACATGAAACTGTTTACACCTCTACTGAGTACATTCAGAAACCACACATGATCAGACCAAATACATTTCTTGTTTCATTGATTGTCTTGGTCAAAATGATAAGAGCCTAAAGGCTCCACATTTTTTAAAGAAATCTCTTGAGTTGAAATACATAAATACAATGAAAGTTGTTTAGGACCTTGCCTTAAACAGACGACCCTGAGTATGATATGTATTCCCCATGTGTGTTACTCACATCTTGTTGGTCGGCAAGACAGTAAGAATAGCTTCCCTCTTCTACCATCATTATCATCAGAGAGCAGCCCTCTTGGCTTGCTGTTTAAAGTCACACTCAGCAATATATCAGCTAAATGATGGAGGCATGTAAATAGTCAAATCTGGACCAGACAATCCAGAGATTGATATTGTGAACAGCCATCCACACCATTTGGTTACGATGACACACAAGAGCCAAGTCACCGAGCTTGACCACTGATCCGTGAAGTTTCCGTGAAGAATCAAGGGTTGCTGGGGACCTATTCTAACTCGGAATCCTATGGGCTGTTGGAATGTAATGTCTTTGTTATATTGTTACACTGAAAGAAGATAAACTAGTCTGATTACATATGTACCTTCATTGTCTTGTCCCCGAAGAAATGTATTTCTTTAAAGTTATCCTTCTCCAGAAACTGCAGACAGAACCTCTTGTCCCAGCCCTGCGGGAACACATCGATGCTAATCTGGCCACCGATCGCAAACACCAGGCCTGCGTCCTTGAACTCTTCCCGTAGAGCGTCCACAAACTTCTGCCGGACATTGTTTTGCTGTGGAAGCAAAGTATTGGGTTTACAAACGGTAATATAAAGAATGGGGTGAGTGAGTTAGTTTGTTTGTTACCGACCACCTTGTAAGTATTTGCTATACATCACGGCATGTCAGCTTTATTTACCATAATCGATGGGAACCGATTCAAACACACTCATATTTCTGGTATGCCTAAGGGACACAACTCTGCACAGTGAACTGTTGCGCCTTGGTTGACAGGTCCAAGATGTCCATCTGAGACCATTATCTCAAACATTATGAACTACTTGCAATTAATCTGATGATAAACAAAAAACAAACAACTAGTAGTTTGAATAAATATACCAAGTCCTTCATCAAAGCACAGTAATTTAAGAATTAAACCACTCTCGACAAAATCCAGCAATTCTCATAGCTCATGATTCTTTAAATATCGCATCTTTATCCCAATAACTGATGCAACACATGACATTTGAAAGACACAAAGGAGTCAAGGTTTTATCGCACACAAAATATTACGTCCTTTACACACATGAATTTGGATTGGACTCGATAACAGATGGACCAGGTAATACCTGGCAGTGTTCAACTGCAATGGTTAAAATGCCCCCATATGTCCCCTCGATTAATGTAGGATCCCTACAGTCTGTGAGCTGGGTTACTCACCTTGTCGAACTCCGCAAACTGTTGGCGTTCCGCCTGAGAACAGCTCCTGCCCACCGGACACAGGTTGATCATGCTGCTGCGGAACTCCACAAATGTTCCTCTGAAAGTACAAGTCATATCTGTCACAGCAAGGCAGGACCGTCACAGTAGGATGTGCATCCTTATTACTTAAGTGACAGTACAATATTTATTATCCAAAACTGGCTCCCACAGGAGATATCGCTGGATTGTCTGATCCAGACTTGATTATTTACAGACCGCCGTCATATAGATGATATCAAGTGATATCTACAGTGTAGATATGCTGCAATGAAATTGCATCACAATGCTTTGCAGACTATTGGTTACCATGATGTCACAATCAAATGACATCACCAATGGCTCTGCTACTGAAGCTGTTAGCAGTACTTTTTACAAAGTTGTCTTTGACCAAGTTTTTGATCAAAGGTTTTGATAGTGTAACGGGGGCTTAAGACACTGCTTATTACTGTCTACAAACTGAAAAAGTTGGAAGAATGATGTTGGATTATAAATAAAATCTCACCCTCGTGTCTCTTGATATCAAATATATCAACACTCGTTGATAAAAGAATAAAAACTCCTTGGCAAGCCTGACGGTTTTTCCACTCTATCAACTCTTGTTGATATATTTGATATCAAAAGACACTCAAATGAGATTCTCTATGTATCCAGTATTCATTGTTCTTGATACACTCAGGTCTCGATTTAACTAACTTGAGTTAACCTGGTTATGTAGGTCTGTGCACTGACATAACGTGTGAACAGCTGATGGCTGCTTCCCGCTTAGTTTACGAGACAATGCACACAAAAATCTTAATCTCTGCATATAAAAAAATGCCTAGTAGAACAGGAAATACAATTTAATTGGCAAGGGTTAGGGGTTAAGGTTTGTTTAGATTTGATTATGCCATAAATTCTGCACCAGGGGCGGGCGATAAAGCTACGATAGTGGCAAACACTTGTTTTCTGTGGAAGACAAACACATTTTTTATTGGATTGTGTATGTGCTGGTGATGTGCTTCATTCTGATTCGCTTTATGGATGGGGTATATAAATTAGCATCAATTTTGAAGGGTTGTACAGGGGGGGCTCCTTATACGTGGGGGTCGCTAAATAGGCGGCAATATACGGCATGTAAGGATGTCACTGCAGTCAAAAGTAACATCATTGTGTCTGTGAGGGACAATATTAGTATATCCTATGTACGTAGATCTCCTACAGATGAGAAGCAGACTTCTTTCACTGACGTGTGTGTGTGCGTCAATGGCTAATAAACAGTATTTCAGTATATCACGTTGTCAGTTTTCTGTGGGCATGATAGGAGACAAACCCAAAAAGATGCTATTTTAACTGTTTAACAGTGGTTGAAACTGGTTTGAAGTACGTAATTATAATAATAATGATGAAATCATAACCAGTTTGAAAAAAGGACAAAGTCAATATCCCCCACAATAGTAAATACATGTCGTGAATAAATATATGAAACTTGTTTCCATGGAAACTCCAAAACTTATTTGTTGAAAAAATCACAAACAATAATCAGCATCAGTTCACCACTAGACCTATCTATGTGCCAAGTTTGGTGAAAAAACAAAGTATGTTGTTCAAGATCTGCTCCTGAATCAACATCTATCACAGACGGATGGACAGATTGATGGTGTCCATTTTAATACCCCCCACAAAACGCTCTGCGGGAGATAACGAGCATCAATCATGTCATTGATGTGACAGAATAACCACACAACTCAACTTTTGATAGGGAAATGAGATATGTCATTCTATTCTACTATACACTTGACATAGGAGAATTTTTTGTGTGTATTATGGAAAGGTAAAAATAAAGAATATATATATATATATATATATGATTTACAATTTGTTTTATTGCCTTTGCTAATTTTTATGATTAATGAAACAAATGAAATAGTTAGCAATTAAATGTTTTTTATTATGATCTGCACAACCAAACACCATTTCCCTGCCAGATGTGTATGCCTGTACGGATCATATTGATATTAGACAGCCTAGCCCTACAATTAAACAATTGTAACATCTTTTACCAAGCTAAATCAGCATCAATAAGTTCTTACTCAACTGATTGTTTATACTGTGACCTACAAAACTAACTTGGGAGTTGGAATCCATAAATCCATCAAACAAAACAGTGTGGCCTTGCTGGTCTGGAATAAACTATCAACCAAACACATTTAGACAAAACATCTGCCTCATTGTAGACCATGACTAAAAAGATCAATAATTCTGTGCTGTACAAATCCAGCAGGACAGCTGCTGCCATAGGTGAACGCTCCATATATCACCACTAACAGCAGCAGTCACCTTGACGACGGTCATCTACACCCTACAAGTATCCGTTCTCATCTAATCCATACAAAGATTCAGCTTTTTTTTATTGTTGTTTCCTGCCACACTCAGCATTATTCCATCTATATGACGGCGGTCTGTAAATAATCAAGTCTGGATCAGACAATCCAGTGATTGATATCATGAGCATCGATTGATGCAATTGGGATACGATGACAATAACCATGTCAGCGAGCCTAGCCAGCATAGGCTACTTGGAACCTATTCTAACATGATTCCCCAGGGGTTTAAAGGCCTCATTGTCCATTGTTTAGTTGCGACTTAAGCCTATTGAACATGAACCCACGTGGCACAGATGCAGTATTTGAATAAGCCTTTGTGAACAGCGAGCCTGTCCACCCGATCCTGTTAGTCACCACTTACAACAAGCATACCGGTAGTCGCCACTTATGACAAGCATGGGCTGCTGAAAACTTATTCTAACTTATTTTCACAGGTCAAAGGATTCAGTACATTGAGAGCTGTATGTAGAAATTATCTCATTATGCCTTTACAATCATCAAAGACACAATGTATTGATTGTGCATTCATCTTTTTCATGTATGCCATAGCTAACGTTTTGGTTGTGTTAAGCTGAGTACCGGTATATTAAGGGCCCGGGGTTAAGATGAACATCTCCGCAGCAGAGGAGCAGTAATGAAAGTAACAAAACTCTTTCCGTATTCCAAAGCAGAATCGATTGTAAGATGTCGTCTATATCATGAACATGTGTTTATGAATAACTATCAAATAGTGATGATACTAGGTGTTCGCGAAAAGGTGAGCCCCATCGGTGGCAACCATCACAAACACATGCAAAGGCAAGGTAATTATTCACCAGAAAAAAAGACGAGAACATATGGTACAAGTCAAAATATATATATGTCAACCATCCACCACTGATGGATGCACCAGGTGGATGAGGCAATACTGGATGAGTGAGTGAGTATGGTTTTACGTCACTTTCAGCAATATTCCAGCAATATCATGGCAGGGTACACCAGAACCATACTGGGTGATCACTCATGGCACAGAGTACACTGCCAGTGAGTGAATGAGAGGAAAAAAACATCAATGCAGATCGTAGACATTAATCATTTGGCTGAAACACACAAGCACAATATGGTGCAGACAAGCGAAGGATGAAGATAAATGTAGGGCTTGATCTCATGATCAGCAGATCCAGGCAGTGAGGGGAGACAACTCAAGGGACAGTGAGCATAAGTTCCAAACTGATTCTAGCAGTATTCTGTGTGAGTGAGTGAGTTAAAATGTAACATCATATTGGCAATATTTCAGCCATATAGCGACGGGAACAAGTTGATGTATTTACATTTGAGGCATGAATACAAAATTATATTTAAAATCTGACCATGTAATAGACGGGAGCACCCAACCTGCACTAGTGAGTGAGTATGGTTTTACATCCCTCTTAACAATACTCCAGCACAATCAGGATGGGGACACCAGAAAAGGGCTTCAAACACAGAACCCACCTGGGGAATGGAAACCTGGGCCTTTGACGTGAAGAGAAAACGATTTAACCACTAGGCAGGCTACCTCACTGCTCTCAATCTGCACTAGATACATGGACTACCCAGCTCCACACACATACACTACTACTAGCTCACCTTATCAATAGGGGAAACTGAGGAGCATAACAATCGTGGCCCCAACAAGAATCTCAATGTTGCAAGCTGCCTACATACTGTACATACATATTAACATTCGCGGCTATAGTTATTTCATATTTATTTCTGCACATCGCTAAATAGATGTTGGTGGCCATGGGGAGCTGTCATAGGTTGGTTTGTTGCTTAACGCCGCATTCAGCAATATTCCAGCTAACCGGTATATGAGGGCTATCTGTAAATAATCAAGTCTTGACCAGAAAATCCAATGATTGACATCATGAGCATAGATTTATGCAATTGAGATAATGACATACATCAATAGATTCCATTAGTTGCCTCTTAGGACACGCATGGGTTGCTGAGGACCAATTCTAACCCGCAATCTTCACAGGACAGATGTTATAGTGGCAGCATGCTTTCTAGTAAGAGGCTTGTCAAATATTTTGAGTCAGAATTTTTGGTTTAACACCAATTTTTGCAGTATTTCAGATACATTTCTGCACGTCAGCTGAGAAGGGGTGTTTGTTTCCTACTGCCACTGTCAGCAATATTCCAAACAATTATAAATATACAACCAAACCAGTGACTGATATTATGACCATGTCCCCTGCCATTGGGCTGTGAGGAGACCCAGTTAACCACATCCCCGCAGTCAACACCTCTTACAACAAACATAGGTTACTTCGAACCAATCCTACCCTGGATTTCCCATGGTGATCTTATGAGCAAGTAGGTGAGGTTGGTTTAAAGCTGCTTTGAACAGTCTTTCATTTATATTAAGACATGTCAGCTTAGTATGGGAGGAAAGCCTGTTGTGATGCAGGTCAAAGACTTTACCACTTTGGTGAAACCGAAGAGCCCACGTCTCAAAGGCAGTCTCATTAAAATCAGATCTGAGTTCTCACTGCCGCTACACAGAGATCTGAGGACATCCTATTACGGGTCACGTTTGACCGATCACTGAAGTGACAAACAAGAAGTCGACATCAGCCAATAGGAAAGCAGCTCTCTCTATCTTTACGGCACTCGTTTCAACCTGGCGACTTTCCTTTCAGACTATGCTCGAAATATATGTTGACACAGTTCTCGATTAAAATTTCGAAAACTGAACAAACGAACATTCTGGAATTTCTTATATATGGTTGAGATTGTATGGCAGTGCTTCCCACGTACTGTGCAACGCCTCTTCCGTTCAAATGTTTATCCCACGGAAGTGAGGGATAGATGATAATTTTGACAGAATCAGTCGTACTGTTGTTTGGAATAACCCGTGTTAACGTTTTCGAGGTTGCATGATCAGAAAACACATTCTGACTGTCACTTTCATGATCTGGTAAGCGACGCTCTGATTGGTGGGATGAAAGGTCGTTCTGACATGACCCGTTATGGGATGTCCTCAGATCTTTGTTTAGCGATAGCAGGAACTAAGATATGATTTTAATGAGATGGTCTCAAGGGTCACAGATCATGGACATCAACCTCTTCTGTGAAACCCATCAGCAAGGGTACATGCCAACAGAACAAGGTCAATATGGGGAACACCAGATTCAAACTAAGCAGATCATACAAACCACAATAAGCAGATCATGGCAAGGCTATGGGTATCAATTATGTTGAAAACACATTATTATTTACCTCTTACATGGCAATACCAGATCGGACATGTATCGCAGAGCGAAGTTAATGAGTTTCTGCAAAGTTTCATCTCCAATTGCTTTTTGAATGTTCTGAAAGAGAATAGTTAAGATCAGACACACAGTGACACACACTGATATTGACATCCACATGTTTATTATGACACGTAGTTTGAGTTCTCACTGATCTCTGAAGACAATATAAACAGGTCTGCAATACATTGAACATTCTGCTAATTAATGAGCCTGAAATTTAGAGATTATCACATTATTAATTGATTTGGTTCTATAAAAGATTATACATTTACCTGAATATGTCAACATTTTCTTTATAAACTATTAAGAGGCTGAAACATTTTATCAGATAATAGTTCATCTTTTCTTGAAAACCCCAAAATAATATTACTCTACCTCTTGCCCAATCTGTTCTCCATTCTTAAAGGCAACTAAACCATTTTCCGCAAAGAGGTAGTCAAACTTCTTGATCACTGAAACACATTCACATAAACATAATTACAAAGGCTCATGTCTCCCCAGCTGACAGATCAGTGATGACTAAGGTGAGACAATATGGGCATGAGGACACACTAAATGACCCAGATGACATCCAGCTGGTTACCATGGTTACACTACTGGCGCCAACATGCAGTGTAGAAGTGGTGCCCCTCAGCAGGATCTGCTGGTTAGGATCAGTAGTATATCAGCACCATATCTGAGCTCTGTGTCAGTTTGGGCTTTCCTCAATCATTAGGCAGACACAATATAATTCAAGTTCTGGTCAGCCCTACTCAGTCAAGCACATGTATTACTCAACTTCATTATGACCACAGAATGCAAGATTTCATTCAATATTTTCAAAAGTGACATTACCAGAACATGGAGGCAAGAGAAACTGTAAGGTGGCAAACTCACATGACTATGTTGATTATCATGATTATAAGTATTCACATTTCAGTAATAAAAATGTGATGGTGGACTGAAAGTGATACAGGTTATGGCCACTAGCGCCGACTACCACTTTGTCTTTCTGTTCTGCCATGCTTACAGGTGGCGCTGTGCTACTTCTGCCAATATTAGGGGTAACTCTATTAGTTTCTGTTCTATTTATAGCGTATTGCGATCTCACAAACTGATGATTCAAGTATAGTGAGTACTTAAGTAGGTATCGGTGAATCATTACAGCCATACTGGCCACCGACCAGTTATTGCTATTTTTATGTTTTATTTCTGAAATATTCTGTCTAAAGATGACTGTACCAATAACTTAATTTTTTTATTTTGTGCAACTTTGAGCAAATGAGATTATTACTGTAGAAAAAGTGTGAGTACATTTCTGTTTTAATGCAATGAGAGGGAATCAAATAGGACTTTCCCCTCAACTAACTGTACCAGTTGCCGCCATCATCTAAACAGCATCTGCCATGTGATCATGTGCACCACTACAGGTATACAAATTACTCCGTTTATTACCTCTGGTAGCACATTCAAATATTTTATTCATTACAATCAATAAGAAATGCTTTTATCAATTTGTTATCAGTCAATGGAAGTAAACTGATATTCCCTAAATTCAATCTACACATGCTATACTGCAGATTTTGTGATATATTCAGGTTATGCACTAATACAGTGTCGAGACCTGGATGTGGGCATTACACTGAGACTGTGACAGCCAGCATGCCACACTCACCATCAGCAGAGCCCCCCATCTGCTCTGTTATCTTGGACAAGTCAGACCCTCCCACAAGGCCTACAACAACCTTGGATTTCAAATTCTCCATAAAAGCATCCATTTCTTCTGTGATTTTCTGCAATATTTAGAGAAATAATCATTTAGTTTAAGTAGACACAAATTATTGAGCCTTATACACATACAAATTGTCAATGGGTCTAAACAATTTACACTTACATCTCCTGGGTGTCATAAAAAACTTTGGCAGACTGACTCAAATAGAACTAATTACAATTGCATGTTACCTTATAACTGACATTTCTATCATGTCTATTCTGGAAAAAAATACACCTGAGTTTAGAGTAACAATGGTTGATTTTCTTCACTCTAACATTGAAGTCCCACTCTATAAAAGGCTAAAGGTTTCTGACTGTCCCCTGGACTAAACAATAGATATAGGCCCAGGTAAATCCTGGTACTTGCAATCATGGTAATGAAAAGAGTTGTCCAACTTCAGAAAGTGAAATTTGCACAAAACAATGAACATTACTTTGAAATATTTGAATAAGTCTCATTTAACACAGCAATATTTCAGCTATATAATTGTGTGCTGGGAATAGGGCCAGACAAAGCATGCACTGGCATCCAGGCATCTCAGCACAAAACAAGTAACAAAGTCTTCTGACAACAACATATATGCTTAAATCAATAACATTTAACTATTTTGTACCATGATAGGGAGTATAGTAATGCCAACACAGGTATGTATCAGGCCTGGTCATTGCAATGCTTCGTAAATATTTCTGATTGAAAATTGAAATTGATACATAGGTAGGTTAGTCGTTCCCACAGCCCCTGAACCATATTACTTTCCCTTCCACCCAGCCCTTACTGTTATATCATGGTAATACAATAGCTCTAAATGAAGCAAGTCTAGATTTTCCACAGGTTCAGAAATACCCATCTTATTGGGGCTCCTTTTCATTTCAATTGTGGTTACTTGTTTCTGTGAAAATTATATATTTCTACAGAGTGAGTGAGTATGGCTTTACACCACTTTTAGCAATATTGCAGCAACATGACGGCGGGGGACACCATAGATGGGCTTCACACATTATGCCTATGTCGGGAATCGAACCCGGGTCTTCGGCGTGACGAGAAAATGCTTTAACCACTAGGCTACCCAACCACCCCATAATATTTCTACAGACTATAAAAGCGTTAGTCTAATAGGTAGATGTAATGTGTATTGTATTGTCAGATCTAAATTGCAAGGCATTGATGCACTGGTGAATCTAACATCCCTTTACTTAATACAAGAAATTCTTTCTTCTACCATGTCTTCAGTTTCTTTTTAGAGATGGTAGACAGACTATGGTAACATCATTCATTCAACCAAAATCATCTAACATAGCGTAGTTATCTTTGTCAATACTTCATGCGGAAAATGTCGTTAATATTGAGAATTTTGCAGTTTTAAGAATGCGTTCCATTGAACTCGGACACAGTGCCGAGACAAGGAGCATTGCATCACATGCGAACCCTATTCTCTGTAAGAAGTTTGACCGGCATGTATCTGAACGGGCACCTGTCATCATCGAATAAACCTAGCTATGACACCAAGAACAAAACATTTCTTTGTTTCATAGTTGATAATGTCAATACATGACAAGAAATGTTGTGACAATTCATACTTACAAGTCGAGGCATCGTGACAGTGCCATCGACATCAAATATACAAATGATAGACGTGTCTCGCTTGTCCGCCATCTTCTCAATAATAACAACTTCCGGTTATGGGTAGTTCCAAATAAGTCAAGCTACCTCGATATCGTAATTGCTGAAGTACTTCTATCCTTCGTGAATCAGTACAATGTCCCTCAGAATATAGTTATAATGGTTGACACTCAGACCTGGGGCTGTGTGATATGAAACACGAGGTGGTGTACAGAATCAGAATAATGTTATCGCTGTGCTAGTTTTAAAGGAGCGCACTATACACGAGACTTGTTGACGGAGCAACATATGCTCTACGCTGATTGGTTAAACCAGACACACCTCCTTTTCATTGCATCACCTGCAGTGGTAGTATTCATGGTAGATGCAGTGACGTTTGGTAATTCAGTGATGAAATAATCATGGAAGTTGCATTGACACATAACAAATGTGAAACCATTTTTACATTAACAATATTCTGTAAAACAAAATGCCTTTCATTCGTGTTTACTAGTCCATTTGATGATAATAAGGTGAGGTGAAATGGGGTTTAACGTCGCGTCCAAGATTATTGCACTTATATAGCGATGTGCATGTACGTGTGTGTGTTTGTGTGGCTGCTTGTACTAGTCCGGACTGATGCCGATTTATAGTGCTAGCTCACTGAGATACCATGCCCTATCGTAATATGTATGGAATATTGCTGAAATGCTGTATTCATTTTTCATTCGGCTATTTTCCAGTCAACAAATATTTCATATCTGAAAATTTGTAAGATGGACCTTAATTGGTATTATACACGTAGCGATAGATGGTGACCCAGTGCTTATGTTTATTCAACCGTCAGAGTCCAACCAGACCCCGGACCAAGACCTAGCTATGAGGTTAGAGGTTAAACATATATGATGCAATACATATGATGCCTATTGCACGTGAAACACTATACTTAAGAAATAAAAGACGAGTGGGAGTTGTTTGTCGTACAATAAAACACTGCGGGGAGAAAAAAAACATGAGGGGCGCGGACCCGAGTGGTTTAATCTCCTTGCAATGTTTTATTGTACGATAAACAACGACCACGAATCGTTTATTTCTTATATGAGATATCAACATTTTTTACAGCCTCTTTAAGGATGTTGAGAAAATGGACAAGTTTTAAAAACATTTACCAAACTTTTTATAATGATGACTACCTGAATAGAATCCGACCATTTTACGAATAGAACAGGCGGGTAAGTTTGGTATTTCCCGCATATTCTCACAATCCTCATATTGATTATGTGTACCTTTTCTCCTAATACCTATTGTCATATCGTTCGGCCACTGCATGTATCTGCATAGCCCAGCTGCATCTATGGGAAACAACTTATACTAGACACTTCCCTCTAAACAAATTTATAACGTCCAATTTATAACGTCACAAGTTGCGAGCGCATATGCGAATCTCCAGAAATGACGTATGATATAACAATAACCACGTTGCGTTCTTCATTGTTCTTTGCGATTTATCGCGTAGCTATCTTATATTTAAGAATTAACGACTCGTGGTCGTTGTTGATCGTACAATAAAACACGACAGGGAGAATAAACCATGAGGAGAGATTCGAACATGCGCTAGCAATTGATGACGTCGTATATTGGACGACGTTATTTTTTAGAGGGAAGTTGTTCCCCATAGATGTGGCTGGGCAACACAGATAAACGCGATGACCGAACGGTCACATCCAAAGAGGGGCGAGAAATGACAATCGGTATTGGGCGAATAGGTACAGGTAATGGACATGAGGATTGTGAGAATACGCAGGAAATATCCACCTGTGCATAAAATGGACTTGTCCGACAATGTCGAGGTCAGATTCTATTCAGGGAGACATCATTATTAAAATACGGCTAAATATTTTTAAAGCTTGTACGTTTTACATTCATCCGTAAAGAGGCTGTACATAATGTTGATATCCCATAAGAAATAAACCGCACTTCGTTCTTCATTGTTCTTTGCGATTTATCGCGTAGCTATCTTATTTATTCCAATACAACAGAGGAGTACAATGCAACGAGATACAATGATGTGCTGGGTGCAACTTTGATAGTCAGTCTTCATGTTAGTGTCTAGTCTGTAGCCTATAGTATTTGGCAAGCCTAGGTTACTGCAGTAGCAGTCTGAAAATGAAGAAAATCTCAGGGCTCCATTTTATTATATTTTATAACTTTAATTTAACTCTAAAATAGTTTATTTCAGAGACTAGATGTTAGTCTAGTTAGTGTCATACACAGCCGTTCAAAACAGAGGCGTGTCCAGGACTTCGAAACAAGGGGCTGGGGGAGGGGTGCACTTAATAACCCAAACCCCTACCCCCGGATCTGCCAGTGCTCAGCCCATGTTGAGAAAGAAACGAACAGAGCATGATGTGAAGCCTAGCAGTACAGATTTTACGCCAGCTTTACTGGTTATACTCACGTTGTAGCCATTCTACCTGAACTACACTTTATAAGCCCCTTCGTCATTTAGCTCATGGGCTTAAATTCAGTTGAAAAAATGATTGATCTCCACGCTTCTATATGGCCAATTTGAACATAAGTGCTGTTAGTGGTTTCCACATGTACAGGGTCAGGGAGGCCGGCTATAACGTTGGTGATATTCTGGAAACTCAGTGGGGCATTTGAAACGCATATGCTGACACGCATAATGGCGATATTGGATTGTTATTACTTTTCTTGTTATTTCAATTTTGAACGTTTTCTTGACTCATTTTCCTTAAGTTGAAAAAGAAAACCATGTCTAATGTTAAAGTGTTGCTATCTCGCTCCAGTTGTGAGAATTGGTTCATTAAACTTGGGATATTTATTCTTCCTATTTTGTCATTGTCTCTTTTTGTTTTTAAGCCCTGGGCTGAAAATTGGATAAAATGTTAGTCAATCAAAACAGACAAAATCTGTAATTAAGCCTAGGGCATAAGCCGTGCAGTCCCCGTCTTATCCAAATATCACAGAGCATGGTCACAAACACTATTTGATATGAATAGGTATCTTAACATGAGCTAAGCGACCGCGTCCGTGGTAGAGCGTTCGCCCGAAGAGCAGAAGGTCCGGGGTTCGATAAAAGACGTTAAAAGATGGCACTTGTTGTTAGCCTGTATGGCGCTCAGCATTAAGGAGCTAAAACAAGGACTGGTCGGCTCGGAGTCAGTGTACTGTGTCTGAGCGTTCCATGTTAAAACTGCGGCATGGTATTTCAGTGGGCTAGCACTATATAATCGGCATCAGTCCTGACTAGTACAAGCAATAATCTTGGACGCGACGCTGAACCCCATTTCAGCTTACACGAGTTAAACAACACCTGAATCGTTCGTTTAAATCTCAACATATATGCTCCCTCAGAATGGCAGTGTGTATGTAATTATGCATATATTATCAAGTGTATTTTAATTTCAATTTCAAAGATTAAATTCTCGCTCAACCACTCAATCTAAACTGCATCACTATCACGTACAATAGCACAGTCACCATTGCGCTTGCCTTTCTATTGTTTCTCTGGGTCTCTATTGTCTCGACCCAGCTCCTCAACTGACATGATGCCTCATGGGATTCGTCAGCTTCCCTTCACACTTTCACCGAGTGTCTCTTGGTTTCAATTTGAGTTGACCATTACTGGATGTGTTCCACTTATCACAGGTCAGTTTATGCGTGAATTGTATACTTCTGTGTTCTTGTTTAGTGTTGTTGTATCATAAGGGTTTAATTTTGTCGTATATATTCATCTTGCTATGCGGGGACACGGGTAGCCTAGTCGTCTAAGGCGCCGCGATTCGTTGTGCAGAGTTGTGTCCCTTGGGCACGCAAGAAACCTATGATTGTGGGTTCGAATCCCGGTTCGCCCCGATTATGTTTCTAGGTTTGTCAGCACCATACCCGTGCTCGTGGGTTTCACCGAAGTGGTAGACGTCTGAGACCTGCATCACTTCGGGCTTTCCTCCCACAGGACACGCCGTGATATAACTGTTATACTGTTAAAAGCGGCGTTAAACCCAACTCACTCATCTTGCTATGCACTCAAGTAGTGTGCTGTGAATCAATGTAATCATGTTATTGTGTTTGTATACATTATGACAATACCCTTGTGTATGGTATGTGTCATGTTATAACGGGATCATGTCAAAAGGCGTTTTCATGCATATTTTATAGCATCTAGTTAATCAATACTGATCATATTAACTATGCGAACCTATAAGATTCTGATATTTGTTGATAAGTTATAATTGTAATGTTTCTTTGGTATGTGTAGGTATGTTGCATATCTTAACTGTGTGTATTGTGTATTTATTTCAACAGGGTCTTTTCACCATGGCATATGCTAACCAGATATATATTGCCATTAAATATGTACTACGTGATATACCTAGTAACCGGTGTTTATTTCAACGTAAGATATAATGTAACGGTTTTTCGAATGACTATAAAAAGATGATTGAAGCATCAATAAAATGTCATGATATTTGTATGTTGTTTTGCTTGCGTGATGTGTGAGTAAAATGGTTTTAAGGCCTCTTTGAACAGTATTCCAGTCATGTCATGTCGTGTCAGCTATCGGGAGGAAAGCCTGAAGTGATGCAGGTTTTAGATGTTTACCACTTTGGGGAACTCACGAACACGGACATATGGTGCTGACAGATCTAGAAACAATCGGGGGAATCTGGGCGTGTTCATATATCTATACAAATAAATGTTTCCATACATTTCTCAATCTCAATAAAATCAGATCTTAGTTTTCGCTACCGCTAAACAAAGATCTGATAAAAAAACCTATCGATATTGATTAAAATATCTATAGCCACGTATGTAACATTACCTCTAGTTGTAAATAAGTTGTGGATATTCTTCTTTCAGTTGACACGACTAAAACAACATGGCCTGATGAGATAGGCCACAGATTACTAAATAAAACTGCCACAATATTAGCACGAATACTGGTAAAACTGTTCAATATGTCACCCCAGAATTCAACCTTTCCTGTTATTTGGCATCTTCCCGAGGCAAGGGAGTTAACTGACTATAAAAGTCCAGTTTCCACCCTTGCCGAACAAGGTAGGACTTACGAGTCTATGCATAGCCCAATCACAATCGTGCAACCAAATCGAAATCCGGTTCGTAAACTGTCGTGCAGATTTCGGTCGACTGCACGATTTGCGAAGCATGTGCACCGTCAAATCGTTGTCAACAAATATTTTCCAAATCTGTTCATGTTTTCAATCAAGTTGCTCACGTGATTTGATGCATTTCGCGATGTGGGACCCGTTTTATCAC